AGGACACAAAATTAGAGATATGATGATTAGTGGTACAAAATCTAACACCCTTTCTCTTAGCAATAGGAACATCAAGATCATTAATGACAGGGGAGTTAACATTAAGAGGAACAGGCATATCAATAGGAGCAAGTGTACCTAGCTGATGAGAAGGATCTGCCTCTGGCGAATCCGATGATGTTGGTTGCATAGTGTCAGGTTCCACGGCTCTTGAACTCTACTGACTTTTATGGCAACGATGAAAGACACGGAATGGAGGAGGATCGGGTAAAGGAGGTAGTTGAGTTTGAGCTGCCTGTTTCTCCTCAACCCTACTCTCCCCCTGAGGAGAAATCGAAAAGAAAGGTTGATTCTCAAAGAAGGATACATCAATGGAGACATAGTACTTGCGAGAGGTAGGATCATAGCAACGATACTCCTTTTGAGATAAAGGGTAACTAAGGAAAACACTAGGAATAGCCCGAGGATCAAGCTTACCTCGAGTAGGGGACAAGTTATGGACAAAGCAACGACACCCAAAAACACGCATCGGAATGGTGGACAGCGGAGTTGTAGGAAATAGAAGCTGATGTGGGGCCTTATACTCTAGTAACCGAGATGGCATACGGTTGATGTATGTAGCACACAAAACTGCATCCATCCAAAAACGTTTTGGCACAGTCATATGAATTAATAAGCCACGAGCTACTTCGAGAAGTGATGGTTCTTTCGTTCAGCAATACCGTTTTGTTGGGGTGTCCTAGCACAAGAGCTTCGTTGAAGTGACCTACTCAAAGCAAAAAACTTCGTGAGATCATTATGGAAGTATTCCTTCGCATTGTTCGACTGGAAGATATGGATTTCAGTTTGGAACTGAGTGAACATCATGCGTTGAAAGTCTTTCACAATTTTTGGCACTTCATCTCTAGATCGCGTAGGGTAAACCCAAGTGTATCTAGAGTAATCATCAATCAAGGTAATGAAGTACTTATATCCAGCCTTAGTAGGTAGAGTAACTGGGCCCCAAACATCAGAATAAACAATATGAAATGGAAATTTAGATCTTTTATTT